TGCAGGTGTTCGGCGGGCGAATCCAAACTCCAGGCATATATGAAGCAGAAAACAGAAGAACATCGCCCGCACTCGCGGCTTGTTATATCTGTTAGTTCAATCTGCGGCGCCTGTTGATCAGAAATGGCTGCAGGCACTGTGAACTCATTGACAGCCTAGAGTCAACATCTGTGCATGTGCTAACAAGAAATTGAAGCAGTTGTCTCCCACGAGGAAATCCCTCACATCCAAACAAACTGTTGATTAGGGAAACAACTAAAGTGACCATCCAAACGTCTTTGCCTGTTCTCGTTTCGGGTCGGGAGGGGGCAATCTCACAGCAGGCAATTACATTGCTCTTTTGTTTCTGCATGGGAGGTCAGTTCGCTCTCGGCACATTGCAAGTCGACTCGTGGTGTCTTGAGGACAACCACCATCCTCAAAGCAAACCATGTTTTACTAGATTTCATAAACTAGGCATTCCACAAATGAGTTGGTTTGAGGATTTGATAAACTACATGTTCCACAAAAAGGAACCTATGATATATTATTCTCATTTCTTCAACCCTTAATAATTCACCGATCTCCCTTTTGGCAAACCAGCAACCTGGTTGGCGACTTCAACTTTCAAGTCTTCCATCATCATGCCAGGTTGATACTTCAATCTTCAAACCACCAAGCACGAATGGATCTCCACCGTCTCCACCCTATCAACTGCCAACCCCATCACCGGATCCTTTCTGACACCACCCCGGAACCACCGGGAGAAATGCCGCCGCCTGCGCCGTGGCACCGCGGTGTGGCTGCGGCGGCTTGCACGAATCGCCTGCCGGGGCTCCACGGATCGAGCGGACGTCGTGAGTTCCAACCAAGCGTTCCCAAGTTCGCGGAGCTCCAAAAACCCTGAAAGCACCGGAGGTGGGGATGGGGCACCGGAGGTGGTGAGGGGGGACGCCTGCTGGGAGGCATTCTTTTCGCGGCGTCGTCTTCGGGGCCGTGGGACTGATCACATTCAGAAGGAAGTTCTCCCAGCACTCTTGAGTACTTGTGCGCTGTTGCAAGCTGTTTTTAAGGGTTAGCTCTTTAAAGCCCAGCCAAGTCTCTTTGGGTCAAACCAGGCGACCTTGGTTGACCTTCCATACTTGCGGACTCTGTCTGGAGCGCTTCCCATGACCCGTCAAACACCGGGTGTCTGCGAGTGGGGGTATGTAGAACAGGGAGCTGTACACAGAGATGAGTCCAAGAAAGGACGTCAACAGACCCTTGTTGACCTTCCTGGTGGAAGCCCGTTCGCGGCAAATGGCGGACTGGTCGGGCTCCAGGTGCCATGACTGCCATGACCCATCCCCCAAGCTGGGGTGGATTGCAAGGTGTGAAACAACAGGACCGATTCGGAGGGTGGGGCGGCGAGGAGGACTCATCCGTGTCCTCAGCGATGAGTCCTCCCTCTGTCAGAGTCCGGAGCCACTACACGTGAACCAAACTGGAACCGCTGTTCTTGCTGAGTGAGGAAGTTCCCGAAGACACCCCAAAAACGGCTTTGCAGGTGATCCAAGTACTGCCCGGAAAACAAAAACCCAGCAACACCCAGAGTCACACCCAAATGAGTAATAATACCACTGAGTCACTCACGGAGTCATACCCAAATGTTCCGCTTTTCCTAATACCCAAATGCTCCCCTCCTCAGGACCACCTGGTCCAAACCGACTTAACACGGTCGACTCCAGCCTTAACACGGTCGCGGGACCCCGCCGGTCGCCGCAAAGGATCACTTCATTCATGGGCGTCCAATGAGGACGAGCATGCACGAGTCTGACGATATATGATGATATATTTACCAAGACGACAATTTTCGGATTGCATATGGTCATCCAATGGTCATCCAAGAGTAGATTGTTTAAAATGTTGACAAGCAATAACCAAATCACAAGAATAGCGAGTCCTGTCTTGGATTGGTTAATGTCCAGCGTACTCTAGAAAGATTGTTTTATTACAGTCATGAAACATAATGAACTTTACTTCAACAAGGGTGTCGTAATTCATGGTACTGCCATGCCGACCAAAACACTAGGTTCCACCAATTGCCAAAACACTTTTCTACTACAGTATATGTAACTATATATGGTGCTCACTATTCACTACATGGTTGTGAGCCTTTCAGTCCAACACACCGTTCAGCAAAGACCAGACCCGTAGCCACTGTCTCAACCTTTGAGCAAGCGGTTGAGCAATCAGGCGATCAAATTACTTTATACACAGTGCGGACACTCGTGTCTGTGTAGGGCATGAAAAGCACCGTAAAAAAATCCTACGGATTATACAATAGTTTCGTGACAATTGGTGACTCCAATGACAACAAGAAGAACAACAACTTCACAACAAACCATTCTTTGGCGGTTTCTGTTCCTGCACGTGTCCCAAACAAACGACGAAATAACCCAGGGAATCAGATCGGACCAAGCTTCTATAGTAAAGAAACAAAAGCGCACAGCCCCGCAGCACCGAATCATTCATTCTCATTCATCTTTGTCTAAGTGTACGAGTCTTCATCCTGCTTGCACAGTCACACCTGCATTCTTATGAGCAACTACGTAGGTTCTGCTGGTTGAGTCAAACAGTAACAATGGTATCCTCATCAGTTGCTTCATGTGTTGCTCAAAACTCCATATACCTAAATGAACATCCGATGTAAAGGTTTTGATTGCGAACCAGAATCCAAGCCGGATACTGTATATTATATTGAATAATAATAATAACTGACAGAAGCCAACACCAGTAAAAGAGTGGATCGACTTGGATGGGGTTTGGAACACTCTTCCAGCAGCTCGGGTCTATGTATGACTTTGTTTCACGTTAGGCCGATGTTGATGAGACATGAAAGGATGTCATGAATACAGTGGTTTCACCCCTGTTTCAACAATGATGGTCGGTTGTTTTCTGAGTCAAGCCATTGTTCCTCAATGGCTAAGCTACAGAACAAATACACACCGTACCATCGTATGGTTCCCAAATATTTACCGCATATATATACCGTTTCCCCAGTAACCTCCACACTGCAAAACTGCAACATGTATATAATCTGTGAAACAACTCAAAGCCTTTGGAAGAAGTTTATTCACACATAGAAGGTCTTTCATGGGTGCTTCCCACTGGTAGCGATGACTTTTGAATTTTGCTGCTGTTTCAGAAGAGCGTGCAAAAACCTACACTGGACCCAAGAATCCAACGAGCACGAATAGACACCACCCATACTAGCAGCATGCACACCCGCACTCCCAAAAACTCCAAGAAATACATTGGAGTCGTTTGAGGGGTCGTAGGCGGCGTAGGTTAGGGGTCGTATTCCATACATGGAGTGTCTGGGACGAACGTGCAGCTGCGACTGTCTCCCACTGAGGTCTCCCACTGTGCTCCACCACCTCAACAAGCATTTTCGGCTGGCGGAGCGGCGGAGAGGTCATTGATAGGACACATCGGCCCTCCTTGCAAAGGACCACATGGACCTCAAACCACTGGCTTCCCTAGGGATCCAAGTACCTTCTCAGAAGGTGATTGAAGACACTCTTATGTAGGCTTGGAGGGTCCAGTCGTACCTTCTGAGGTTCGGTACGACTGGATCCCTATTGCTTGTAAAGGAAACATGTGTTTTGCGCAGGGTGATGATCTTCAGAGCCAACCAACCGCCAAAAGTGGTGTCCGCCAGGACCCGAAGCGAATTGGGGTTTGGGCACTTGACGGGATCGTAGCCGTCAGTATCAGGTAGATGAGAGTGATGAGAGTAGCTGTCAATGTCCTAGAGCATCCTAGCCATGGCCAACCCACCATTTCCTTTATACATGTTCGATCTTCCGTCCGGCTACGAAGGATGGGTTTGTGAGTCACGTGGTGACGTGGCTTTTTTTGACCCGAGGTCAAGCCAGTTCGGAGGGCTGGCATGGACTTCTCCGATTATATAAGGTGCCCAAGCCATGGGCACGGCCAAATCCGCTACATGGCAGCTGCAAACAGCTGGGAGGGGCTACCAGCCCACTCCCTCGCCGCCGAAAACGCCGGTGGAAGCAGGGTCAAACTACTGTGCGGAGAATGTCCTCGAGGCGACGCATGTCCTTTTTTAGACCTGTGATCTTGTCTTCATGATGCTGTTTTGCTTGCTCTTGTGCGTGTCTCATCTGGTGGGCCCTTTCCAATTCTTTTCGAAGTTCACGTTGAAGTTCATCCCTGTCTCCTTGGCTAAGAAGCTGACCAAGACCAGCAAGAAGACCCCCTAGAAGGCCACCAAGAAGAAGACCCAAAGGACCCATTGAAGCACCAATGGCTAAGCCTGGGAGCATATGGGGTATCGTCACCCCAGCCTTACGCTCGAAGACCTGCATCCACTTCTTGACATTCTCCTCCACATTCTCAATCTTCTGCTGAAGTCCCTTTTCCTCCACTTGGTACTTCCTGTTGATCTCATCAAGCTGCCTCTCCAATGCCGCCTTTGCATCTCCCGCACCCCGCTGTATCGCTGCTTTGGCGGACTTGAGTTTTGGCTGTTGCACACCCGACCTCTCCTGAAGAATGCTGTGTTCCAAGCAATCCCGCAGTTTATTGACCCCATCCTTGGTGGTGCTTCTGAAAAGTAACACAGTCAGATTGTATTTAGTCATGTGATGTCATGTGCATGTCAAATGCAAGATTGCACAAACAAAGACTAAAGAATAAGATAAACCACGTAACAACATGTTAAGAGCTTCGTCACGCCCATTGGTAGCATTCAAAGGGATAATCACCGGGGACACATCAGGCATGAGGCTCTGAAACACATCCTTCACATATGCCAGGCAATCCTCTTGATCCTTCTCCTTCTCCACATAGTTCCAGTAATTCAGGGCCACCAGCACTTCCGGTTTGGAGGCCAGCAACTCGCACAAAATCGGCCTCTCGCTTTCCCCAAGAGCGTGGCGGGCATTGATCACAACGACGGCCACATTGGCACGGCGTGCAGCTTCCAATGACTTCTCTTTGTGCCCCTTCTTCGCAACGGCATCCAAACCCGGCGAATCCACCAAAGAGATTCCCTTCCATGGAATATACGTGAGATCATCCGTAGTGGGTGCGATGCCTACCCGGCATTGATCAGTCTTCCCAGTAATGGAGTTGATCAAAGAAGACTTACCAGCACTGAACGACCCCACAAACATCACCAAAAGCTCCATCTCATAATCCGATTTGGCAGTTTACAAATGTGATTTGATCGCAGACATCACTGCTAGTGCGTGGGAGTCAGTGTGGGAGTGCTTCAAGTACTTCGCACAAATGCCAATCACCTCATCAAAGGGAAGCCCTGGCCCTGCTGCCACAGCATTGGCCATGAGCGGTGGAGTGGCACAGGCAGTCACATGTCGAGTAATGCACGCCATGCGATGCGCCATGCGATCAGGTTCCGAGTTCTGAACGGTGGGGAGCGGCACCGTGTCTCGAGCGTCGCCGGCTACGCATGGAAGCCGCACATCACCCGCAGCCTTCGCTTGCCTCGGGCTAGGCTGCACGGGCCGTCGCGGCCAAGACCCGGCTCGTGTGTCCATCCCCTACCCCCTCGGACTCCAAAAGCTGACATCCCTGAAAATCATCATGGAAGTGGAGCTCACCACTTCACTATATATATAGATTGAAGAGGAAAATGGTCATCCGAGTCTTCAGCACCATGCCATTCACTTCCGTTGATGAATTTCAGGGAGTTGTAGCCGCTGCGCCTGGGTAGGTCTTCCACCCATCCCAATCCAACCCTGAGACCCCCACCGGCAGCTCGTGTGGTTGCAGGACATTGGCCACGTCTGGCCTCGGAGTGCACAGGGCCAGGAGAGACAAAGGGAGCCTTCTGCCCAGGCAAGATTCACTTCCTTGAGCTGCTATGTCTTTTTCCCGCCTTGGGGACCACTCAGCCACTACCCTGCTAAGAGGTCAACCTTGACACCCGGCCCAGGAAAGTATTGAACGATTGAACATGTTGAAAAAAGCACACATCCCAATTTTGTTGCAGTTCTGGCAGTTCTGTGTGTCACTCACGCTCCGGCAGACCCCACCGCCCTCGTCCGTACCCCGTCCATCGTGTCCCCGGACGTGCCGGAGGTCGTCAGCACCACCGTGGGATCGTCCAAGCCTGGTGGCGCCCGGTGGGGCGAAGCCCAGGTGACTCGGACTGCGAAGACCAGTGGTTTGTAGGAGAAGAGATATAGATTTCGTCGCATTTGGGGGGGGAGCACCAGCAGCAAAGTCTTCCAGGGTCGACCTGGCGGTTTTCTTACCGAACTCCCTGCAGCTCAGAATGGCCTCTGAAGCCCTGAAGTTCCAAAGCAGCCCAACCAGCCAAAGAACAATTGCCCACCAATCAAGTCAAAACACGTCGACGTTCCAAGCCCAAATCGTCAAGGGTATGGAAGTGGTACGCTGCTGTGTAGACTGTAGACTCTTGATTGAATCATATTGAATAGCATACCCTCAAAAATGAAGAGGTTTACCATTCAAATAGAAGGTTTTGCAATTCAAGAGTCCACATTTTGGTTTGTCGTAATGTTGCCCTCTTGTTGGTATTGGTATGGTATGGTGACCTCAGTTCTGCATCCAGAAGTCAGCCGGGTCAAGAGAACCATTTGTCATACCCTCTCTCCCACTTTCCTGGAAGTGAATGGCCTGGCAGGGCCTGCCACCGAAGTCTACTGACTCCTGTGTTTTCACACGAGAAGGACCACCCAATGCCATTTATTATGGTGTGTGACCTACATCTCCACCCCTTGCTCCTGGTTCCCGGTCAACATCACGCCCCCCGAAACCGCACACGACCTGCCCGACGCAGCAGTCTCTGTGCGGATGGACCCCTGCGGAGCCTCCCAAAGCTCGCCAGGCCAGTTGCACATCGTCGGCACCTGCAGGGGAGCAGCAATCAGTGCTGACAAGTCAGTGAGGAAGACTTCGGGTGTAGTCTGGTGCTTCATGTCTTTATGTCAGGAAGTCTTTGTCATCCCGTGTCTGGGTCTTGTAGTAGATAAGCTTTGGGTTTCCCAGATTTCTGGCAAGGTTTAAGCCACGGGTAGATTTAGAAATGCAAATGTTTCAAGTTTCAATATCCGGACTTCATGACTTCCACGAGCTGAGTGTTTTCTCTGATGTTGGAGGTGATGACCTTTTGCTTTCCAACCCTCTCTTCAAACAGCCACAGTGATACTCAACCAAGGGCCACTTTCCCTTCATATTTCTTATGGATACTCAACATGCCCCCCTTGTATATATATACTACCCCCCCTTCCAATTATGAGATGGGTTGCTTGTTGCGCAAGCCCTGACACATGTGTCTGAGAAAAGTTGACTGAAAGTATTCAGGAGGCACATGAGATAGGAGTTATACTGGTCAACACGTTTATTTTGTGCAATCATGTAATAATGTGTTTGTCATTTATGCTTCATTTAAGTTATATACATTGTGTTTCATTTGATGCATTTGTCATAACAACGAGTTTCAGTTATTACTTAAGACAAACGAAATACAATCATATTAATTGCTATGTTTGAGTGTCCCCCCTTGGAATACACCAATTCAAAGAGATAAGCAAAGCTACACTCGGCTGATCTGGATTTTGATGGTAGATGCATGATGAGATGGGAGTTGTGGACACACTTGGAAACACATGAGATGGCACTTCGGAATTTGCAGTCATTTCACAAGTCCCAACTCACTAGTGCAAAGTATATCTCATCTTTCAGGGGAAACATATACTGTATATATATATATATATTACATTTGACTCCTAACCTGACACATCTCTTAGCCATCGCTTCGCTTCTTTTCTCTTGCGTGGTTCCACTCCACAGTTGCTCTTGTGGCTCCTGGCTATCAGGATCTCCCCGCCACTACCGGTCCCTTCCCCCGCAGCATGGCTGCAGGGGTCAACATGGGTCAATGCCACCTTAAGCTCTAAGTATCATGGAAGAATAGCTACCCCTTGCCCCTTGATTGCATTACTTGAATCATAAGCCATCATAAGCCACGTGCTCACCAGCGCTCCTGCACCTGAATTGTGGGGAGGTGTTTAGGCCGTTTAGGCTTTGCCCCCTGTGAGCTGCTGGAGGTTGAAGCTGCACAGTCGAACTCTTCTAAGCAAAACAAGAATTCAATAGTACTCAATGTTTGATATTCCTTTGCAACAGCCCGAGCTGTTGCATGAAGTCACACTGGCTTCTTCTAAGCACAGCAAGGGGTAGCAGGTAGCAGCAGTGAAGCACTAAATCTCTCAACTTGCAGTGCTTGCAGCCGCTTTCTCTTAGAGACCAAAGCGTAAAGGAACGCAGAACTTGCACTTCTACAATCATATCTGGCGTCCTCATACTTGGCTCCAGTTGTCTTACAGTGGGACATGCGGTCAGCTGGAGCATCCATGCTCACGAAACATTGCGCTGAAAACCGGCGATGGTCTGCATGTGCTGCATATTAATGCACGGCTGTGTTTGAAGGAAGCAGGTTGCACAACACGACTGTGTTGTCGGGTCCAGTCTTGGCGCTGCGTAGATATGGCCTCTCCAATTTTCGAAGCTCTGTGAACGCCCCCAACTCACCCTTAACAAGCAAAAACAGCCAACATTCTACATGATCTGTGAGTCAACAGGATTGAGATGCACTTGGAGACTGTAGTCGGACTCGCCTAATTACTAAGTTTATTATATGGGAGCTTTGTAGGACTTTCTCCCGATCCTAGTTGTGTCAGTTTCCAGAACGACTGCAAATGTCTACTTCATCCTCTTGCACAACACCACAGGTGATGAACACGCGTCATCTCAGCGACCATCGAAATGCGCTTCTTGCCATTCCTACCTACGTCTGGCCATCGAATCGCGCCGGCGATCGGGCCAGCGACACCCAAAAGATCCAAACGTGAGGCCATGGAATCAAAATAGGGAAATAAGTAATCACTGGGTATGGCTTAGATATGGGCACCATCCAAATGATCTTAGTATGAAAATATGTATCCATCAGGTTTACCAAACGAGATAAGCTGAAGTTTTGTGCTCGCCTCTTCATGGCGGCAATTAGCATCTGTGCTGCTTGACTTCCTAAAAAGTGGTTTGTTCAGGGGTTGCTTGGGAGAATTCGCACCTCACAGCTTCGCAGAAATTCCCACAGTCTAGGCTTGGAACTAAATATGGAAGCCATGTAACTAATGTGCGCCTGACTTAGGTTCTTGAGCTCTCTGAACACTCGATTGCCCTTCTTTGGTGTGTGTGGGGCATGCTTACAGTCAAAGCACAAGTTGCACAAGCCTTGGACATGTTACAGGCAACCAACAATGTGGGTCTAGCTGTCGGCAAATTCCAAAACGAACAAACTAGAGAGAAGTCTGCCTCGTCTCTCCAACCAAAAGAAGGTTTGCCTTTCGCACGAAGGCACTTGTGGAAAAGGACATTCTTCTAGAAACGTGTGCGGAGGGATGCTAAATTACTAGTACTGACAAAGGCAGTGTGACAAAGGGTGGATGGATTTCTCTAATTTCCAGCACCGTCATGCTCCACACATGATCTTCACCATTGTTGCATTCCTGTTGGAGGCTGCTTAGCTAATCTCATATAAACAGTTGACCGAATCTGTCCACGAGTTGCGGATCTTCCAGTGCCGAAGCAGCTGAAGGTGCTTTGTACAAAGGGCCTTTATGGGCCTTGCACAGCAGCTCGCGGTGGTCGTGTGCGCTTGTCTTCGTGGTCGGCACCAGGTCGATGCTGGTGAGTGGTATCATTCCTGACCTCGTGACTCTGGGGCCACTGGATTCATAATACTACGGGTCATCACAAGCAAAACTCTTTTGTCCTGGGTTGCAGTGCTCATCTTGACAGGGAGAGGAACACACATATAAGATTGCATCGTATAGGATTCATGCAAAACCCAAGCAAAAACACCCCAAACAGAGTCTGACTCACAGTGCAATTTGGAAAGTCAAGTCGGCACTCTTAGCGTTTTGGGTCTGAAAACAAACAAACAAACAAACAAACACACAAACAAACAAACAAACAAACAAACAAACACCAACCCACTTCCACACCGGCATGAATTCTACCCTTCAGCATGCCTCTTTCCGGTTTCATGACCACCGCGTCAAGGCTCGGCCTTTCGCCGTCTGGGCCTTGGACCCTTGGACCGGGGAGGCACCCAATGGACGAGGCATCAGGCAGGAAGAACTTCTTTCGATGGGTGAGGCGATGGGTGAGGCCCTCCAACGCGGCGGGATTGGGCAATCACACCATGCCCGGAGTTAGTTGAGTGAAATTGCAAGGAATCACAGGTCGGTTTGGAGAGTACTCTAGGTATCTCTAATTAATATGACGTCTCACAAACCCTGCTCAAGGAGCCCAACTTGTTGGCACAGCATCTGCACCCTTGACTGGTGGACCGACGGGTCCCTGCATGAAATCCGCGATGCGTGACGAACCGACGACCCGACCGACCTGTCTGTGCGAGATGGACGTTGGGTGTACGGTTGGACCGGAC